CCCCCCCCCCCCAGCCCCAGATTTACTTCTCTAAAGCATTTGCTACTGGCTTCAATGCCATGTTCATGATCCTTTTGGACATTCCATTATCTACCAAATGACCTTGGAATTCAAATCCACTCAAGTTTGGAGCCCCAAATGCTTTCCAACATCCCCCTAAATATATCCTGCTTATTCATATTAACCCAAGTAAGGTTGTGGTATTTGCCATTGGAAAATATAAGTGCATGTGCATAAATATTTAGGTTCATGAAGGTGCTCTAAAAAAAAAAAGCCCAGTATCATATATATCCATTCAATTTGTTTCTTTCCCTACAATTTATGTTCCCTTAAAGGTTTAGGGTTTGATTGATTACAATTCAACAAAAATATTTTGAGATGCCTCGCATCTAAAGACAAGGACATCTCATCTTTAATACTCTCTCTCTCTCTCTCTCTCTCTTTTTTTTTTTTTTTTGGTACCAGGGATTCAACCCAGGGGTACTTAACCACTGAGCCAAATCTCCAGCACTTTTTAATAGCATGGAGTTTCTCAGGGCCTGGCTAAGTTGCTGAGGCTGGCTTTGAACTCGTGATCCTCCTGCCTCAGCCTTACAAGTCCCTGGGATTACAGATGTGCACCACTGCACCCGGTTTTAATTCTCTTAAATTGAAGTGGAAGCACCAATGTCTACGGGAGGTGCAAGACCTTTCTTTAAGCTCCTGCATGTCATCTGTGCTGGTCAGAGTCTCTATCGGAAACAAACAACTCATTGAAAAGAGTTGATTGGCAACAATTAAGGTGAAACCAACCAGAAAAGGTAGGGAGGAGCAATGATGAGAACTCAGCGATTACTAGAACTATCTGCAGGACAGGGAACCTGATGGGAACGGTTGCCTTCAGCAGAGGAAGAAGGCTGCTGCCAAGCCACAGCTTGGCAGGCAGAAAGCTGGGGGAATGACTATTCCTGGTTGTTATCTCCTATTTGATCTYTGATTGGAGCCTCTTGCTTGTCAAACCCAATCAAAGGCTAAGAGCAGGAGAGCCTGGCTAGTGTATCCAGAGGTCGGTCTCCTGGGGCACAGAGAGCAGAAGTGGAGAAGGAGAAATAGCTCCTGAGGAGCAAATGGAGAACATTCAGAACCACATGTTACCTCTGGCTCCTGAAAGTCATTCTCCAGAGTAACAGAAAGTTTGTCTCCGCTAAAGCTACTGGGTTTGCTCAGGAGCCATGGAGCCTATCATGTGCCAATGGGAATTTTTGGCTCAAGGAGGGTCAGAGGGCCCATAGCGGTAGCACACGCCTATCATCCCAGCAACTCGGGAGGCTGAGGCAGGAGGACTGCAAGTTTCAGGCTAGCCTCAGCAACTTAGTGAGACTTGTCTAGAAACAAACAAACAAACAAATAAATAAGGGCTGGGGTAGCTCAGTAGCTCAGTGGTAAAGTGTCACTCTGGGTTTACTCCCCAGTACCAAAAAAAAAAAAAAAAAAAAAAAAAAAGAATTACTGCAACAAAACACTTTTCTCCTCTCTCCCCTCTGTCCCTCTCCATGCTAGGAAGCCCTCTTCTCCTCTCTTCTCATCTCTGCCATTTCCTTTTCGTGTTGCCACATGGCTTCACTAGAATTACTGGGAAGAAAGCAAATACTTCTAGACCAAATTAAATATGTTAATTTTTACTGTTTGCATTATAATTTATAATTTATGTTAGATTGTACTGCTTGAGCAATAAGTTTTATATGAGAAAGCAGATTAATTTTGGAGGAAAATGACATTGAGGTAACTAGGATATTTTTTTAACAGCACACTCAACATGGAATACCTAGCAATGCTCTTCTGAGTCTCTAGCCTGCAACGCTGCAGGAGGAAGAGTTTTGTGGCAGGAACTATTGATGACTTGTCCCCCTTCTCTCAGCATTTATCTGCACGTTCTTCTCATCTTTTCATTCCTTGGTGCATACTGCTCTCTCCACTCAAATACCCCAGAGTCCCTCAGTTGGCACTGGAAGGGATGAGAATCCAGGACTGGGGTAYGGTTGGTGGCTTCAGTTCAGGACTGGGGTACGGTTGGTGGCAAACACTTCCCCTTCCATTTGGGGAAAATTAGCCAAGTGAGAAAGGAGAAAACAAAGAATGAAGGGCAACATTCCTGTGTCAGACAGGCCACTGGGATATCCAAGACTCAGGATAGGGAGCTGGGAATGCTTTGGGATTAAACTCTTGGGTTTTGGGGGGCTGATTCTTTGCAAACACAATTCCAAGGGCAAAGCATGCCTTTGAAGGTTGAATAAAATGTTCTTCAACAGCATAGGAGCTATAGAATCTAAAACAAACTGAAATCAATAAAGCTTTCCCTTGAAAAACCTATAAATAGTTTTCTGAAATCGTTCCTTTGCCTAACATCTTGGGAAACTATTTCCAGTAGTTGTCATTTATGACCTTGCTCCCTTCCCTGATTCCATTTGTATAGACCTGGAACAGCAAAGAACCGACCCAACAGATGTGTTAGTTGTGTGCCCACAGTAAACCTTTTTGCTACCTTCTGTAAGTGCCAGTGTGCATGTAGGAGGGATGAGCCACTGGATCATTAGAGAATCTTAGGCTTTGGACAAGTGACCAAATAATTAGTTCCTTTAGAGTATTCAAGAGTAAGTAAGGGGCTGGGGATATAGCTCTGTTGGTAGAGTGCTTGCCTAGCATGCACAAGGCCCTGGGTTCATTCCCTAGTACCACCAAAAAAAAAAAAAAAAAGTATTCAAGAGTAAGTGAGCAGTGCCCTGAGTTTAGGCAGGTCATAGGTAGACTTTTCTGAGTGGAACAGATAAGCATTTAGCTAAGAAAACTTGGGTCTATCAAATGACCATTTGAATTACCCTTTGTGATTCCCTCTTTTAGTCCTTTGAGCACCACTATTTCTGGCCCCAGGTATGTTAGTTTTGTTGACTCTTTTGGGTCCCAAACCTGTACAAAAAAATTAAACCCATTTTCCATGCCTTTCTCACCTGTCGGAGGCAGGTCAGGGAACTAAAGAGGGCTTAGTTCCATGTGTGTGCTTCTGTGAGCTGAGAAACAAACACTGTACAGATTGTATCTCTCTGATTTATGTTCATGTTGCCTTCCCATGGGTTTTAGCAAATCTCTATTTTGCCATCTGGTTCTGGGRATTTTTTTTTTTTTCTGGAGGTTACATCTGCCCTAGCCTAGGAAGATTTTAAATGTGAAGTTAATGAAAGCAAGTGTTCCTGGACAGATGGTCTCACAACCTTGACCTACCTGGGGACTTTAAAAAGACCCAGGTCACCTACCCCATATTCATTAGGAGTATATAAATYTCATGAACTCACAGGTTATATAGGGATGATCATTAATTCATGTGTGAAGACTAGACATCAATTCTATTTCTCAGCCTGATTTCAACCTGGTTCCCCAATCTTTGGAATTTACCTTTTTATTGACTGATAAGCCCTTGGCACTAACCTTCATGTATGACACTGGTATTTGTCCTCTGGCCACTTGAGCACAACTAAGGCATCTGTTTTAGCTCAGTGAAACTTACTAGCATGACTCATTTCCTACCCATGCTTCTCACCAAGTGTTGAAATCYGGCAACCTACATTTCATTCCTCATAGGGTTACTGAGGGAATGGAGGGCATCACGAGGGTTCCTCAGATCACCTGAGATTGCATGGCAAGAATCCTGCTATGATGCTGAGAACCAACCATATGCACTGGAGAAAATAGGAGCATAAACTCATTTGTGAAACATGATTCCACACACGACATCAGCAAGGAGACTTGAACAAAACTGACCCTGGGTTTAACAGACCCAGTACCATTCCCCTTTCTTTCCCTCTGAAGAAGAACGAACAAACAATCAACTTACTGTAAACTGGATTTGACAGCCACCCATGATGTAGTCCAAGAAGGAGTGCATCTTGTGGATCTGTGTAAGAGGAGAGGAAACCAGCTTAAAAACAGCACCATCTTTTTCCTTGCAGTGTGAAGGCCTAAACTTTATGGATGGGCTGCTAAACCAGAAGAAAGAACAGAAAGAAATCTGTGGGCACCAAAGGGGTGAGTTGCTTTTGTTCCATTAGAAGAGAGAAAGAAACCAAGGTCAATGCCGATGAGCCTGTGAGGGCTGCAAATATCCATTCCCTGTTCTTTTCTTTTGGTTTATATATGATTTTAATCAACTTCTGCCTCTGGGGTGAAACTCAAATTATTTTCAAAGGTTACTTMTGTTTTGGAATCAATAATTGTCTCAAACTGGGCTTCAGTCTTTCTTTCCTGTGCCTAAGTCCCAGGACTGGTAACATTCTTAATATGCGGGTCATCGAGATTGGTGGCTTTCAGATTCAATTAGCTGGGAAGGCTTTTACTGACAGTTTGCTGTTAATTAAATCCTTTTCCTGCCATAAACAACAATGACTATCATTTCTTGAGTACTTAGTGTGTATCAGGCACTTAACATATTTTATTTCATTTAATTCTTAGAAGGGCCTTATGGAGATTATACTGCTATTGTTATTATGCCCATTTTGTAGATGAGGAAATTAAGGTTAAGACCACAAAGCTAGTAGATGGTGGGATTGGGGATTCATATTATGGAAGTCTGGATTGCACAGTTCATCCTTTTGTTCTGTGCTGGAACCCACGTGATCATTGCTTCCTGCCAGCTACCATCATCTGGGTTCTCATGTACTTTGTTGACTTCTGGTCTTAATTTTTGCTTCTTTAAGATTCTGCTGTCTGAGGGAGGTAGTACACTAAAGGAAAAACTAATCAAAGAGGAAAACCAATTCAAGAAAAATAACAAAAATAAACAAATATGGCTGGAAATACAAACCATGTCTCAATAGTAACCCTAAATGTTAATGGCTTAAACTCACCAATCAAAAGACATAGGCTAGCAGATTGGATTTAAAAAAAGATCCAACAAAATGCTGCCTACAGGAGACTCATCTGATGGGAAGAGACATACACAGACTGAAGGTGAAAGATTGGGAAAAAAAATAGCACTCACATGGTAGCGGAAGAAAGCAGGGGTTTCCATACTCATATCAAATAAAATAGACTTCAAGCCAAGGTTAATCAAAAGGGATGAAGATGGACATTACATACTGCTCAAGGAAACCATACACCAACAAGACATAACAATCATAAATATATATGCCCCAAACAATGGTGCAGCTGTGTTCATCAAACAAACTCTTCTCAAGTTCAAGAGTCAATTTGACAAACACAATAATCTTAGGTGACTTTAACACACCACTCACCACTGGACAGATCTTCCAAACAAAAGTTGAATAAAGAAACTATAGAAGTCAATAACACAATCAATAACTTAGACTTAACTGACATATATGGAATATTTCAACCTGCATCAAGTGGATACAATTTTTCTCAGTAGCACATGGATCCTTCTATAAAACAGACCATATACTATGCCACAAAGAAGCTCTTAGTAAATACAAAAAAATAGAGATACTACCATGTATTTTATCAGATCATAATGGAATGAAATTGGAAATCAATGACAAAATAAAAAATAAAAATTTCCCCATCACCTGGAGTCTAAGCAATATGCTACTGAATGATCAAAGGGTCACAGAAGACATTAAGGAGGAGATTTAAAAATTCTGAGAGGTGAATGAGAACATAAACACAACATATCAAAATCTCTGGGACACTATGAAGGCAGTACTAAGAGGAAAATTCATTGCTTGGAGTTCATTSCTTAAAAGAAGAAAAAGTCAACAAATAAATGATCTCATACTACATTTCAAAGCCCTGGAAAAAGAACAAACCAGGAGCAAAAACAGTAGAAGCCAAGAAATAATTAAAATTAGATCTGAAATCAATGAAATCAAAACAAAAGAAACAATTGAAAAAATTGACAAAACAAAAAGTTGGTTCTTTGAAAAAATAAATAAATAAAATTGACAGACCCTTAGCCACGCTAATGAAGAGAAGGAGAGAGAGAACTCAAATTACCAGCATATGTGATGAAAAAGGTAATATCCCAACAGACACTACAGAAATACAGAGGATAATTAGAAATTATTTTGAAATCTTATACTCCAATAAAATAGAAGATAGTGAAGGCATCGATAAATTTCTTAAGTCATATGATTTGCCCAGATTGAGTCAGGAAGATCATACACAATTTAAACAGACCAACATCAAGTGAGGACATAGAAAAAGCCATAAAAAGCTTACCAACCAAAAAAAGCCCAGGACTGGATGGATACACAGCCAAGTTCTACAAGCCCTTTGG